ATCAGAGAAAACACATATGTAGTTGGAGACTTCAACACACCACTATCAACAATGGATAGATCTATGAGACAAAAAATAAGTAAGGACACTAAAGCTCTAAATAAGGGTCCAGACCTCATGGGCTTAACAGACATGTATAGAACACTAAACCCAAAAATATCTGTGTACACATTTTTCTCAAGTGCACATGGATCATTCTCTAGGATTGATCACATGTTGGGACATAAGACAAACATCAACAGATACACCAAGACTGAAATCATACCAACCATCTTCTCTGACCATGAAGGCATCAAAATAGAAATTAACCATGAAAAGAAGTCAAGGAACCCTCCTACCTCATGGAGATTGAAACCCACACTGCTGAAAGACCACTGGACTAATGAGGAGAGCAAAGAAGAAATTGAAAAATACTTTGAGTTGAATGACAAGGAGGACACCAATTTCCTAAATGTATGGGACACAGCAAACACAGTAATAAGAGGAAAATATATAGCAATACAGGCTCACATCAAGAAACAAGAAAGAACTCAATGAAACAATCTAATCTCACATCTCAAAGAACTAGAAAAAGAACAACAAAAAATCCCTAAAACCAGTAGAAGAAAGGAAATAATAAAAATCAAAGCAGAAATAAATGAAATAGAAACTAAAAAAAAAAAATCAAAAAGATTAATGAAACAAAAAGTTGGTTCTTTGAAAACATAACTAAAATAGACAAACCCCTAGCCAGGCTCACAAAAGAAAAATGGGAGAAAGCACAAATAAATAGGATCACAAATGAAAGAGGAGAAATCACAACAGACACAGCCGAAATCAAAAGAGTAATCAGAAACTACTATGAAGAGTTATATGCAAATAAATTCAACAGTCCAGATAAGATGGACAAATTTCTACAACTTTACAATCACCCAAAGCTAGATAAAGAAGAAATAGAACACTGAAACAGACAAATTACAAGCAGTGAAATTGAAATGGTAATCAAAACCCTTCCCAAAAACAAAAGCCCAGGACCAGATGGATTTACAAATGAATTCTACCAAACATTCAGAAATGAACTAGTGCCTATCCTTCACAAATTCTTTCAAAAAATTGAGAAGGAATGGATAATACCAAACATGTTCTATGAAGCCAGCAACATTACACTAATACCAAAACCGAACAAGGACACCACAAAGAAAACTACAGGCCAATCTCTCTAATGAACACTGATGCAAAAATCCTCAATAAAATTTTAGCTATCAGAATCCAACAATGTATCCATAAGATAATCCACCACGACCAAGTAGGATATATTCCAAGGACACAAGGATGGTTCAACATCCTAAAATCTATCAATGTATCCAACACATCAACAAAAAAGAAATATAAAAACTATATGATATTATCAATAGATGCTGAGAAAGCTTTCAACAAAGCACAACACCCATTTATGATAACGGCCCTTGAAATTCTCGGGATACAAGGAACATACCTCAACATCATAAAGGCCATATATGACAAAACCACTGCCAATATCATTCTTAATGGTGAAAAGTTAAAAGCATTTCCATTGAGATCTGAAACAAGACAAGGATGTTGACTCTCACCACTGCTCTTCAATATAATACTGGAAGTCCTAGTCAGGGCAATAAGACAAGAGAAAGACATACAAGGAATCCAAATAGGGAAGGAAGAAGTAAAACTATCACTATTTGCAGATGATATGATAATATACATAGAGAACCCCAAAAACTCCACAGAAAAACTAGTCAAACTAATCAACCAGTTTAGTTAAGTAGCAGGACACAAAATCAACACACAAAAATCAGTAGCCTTCCTATACACAAACAATACATCTGAAGAGTAAGAAATCAAGAAAACCACCCCTTTTATTATTGAGACAAAATAATAAAAAACTTGGGAATAAACCTAACAAATGAGGTAAAGGACCTTTAGAAAGAAAATTATAAAACAATGTTAAAAGAAATTATAAAACAATGTTAAAAGGACTGATCACAAAAATCTACAAAGAGCTGATGAGACTCAACAAAGACAAGTATATAATCCAGTCAAAAAATGGGCAGAAGAGCTAAAAAGAAGCTTCTCCAAAGAGGAAATGCAAATGGCCAGCAGGCATATGAAAAAATATTCTGCATCACTTTTAATCAGGGAAATGCAAATCAAAACAACAATGAGATACCACCCTACACCAGTGAGAATGGCACATATTAAAAATACTAGCAAAAAATGTTGTTGAGAAAAAGGAACATTGCTGGTGGGGGTGCAAACTGGTCCAACCACTATGGAAAGCTGTGTGGAGGTTCCTCAACCTGCTAAAAATGGAGTTTCCATAGGCTCCAGCAATTCCACTCCTAGGTATTTATCCAAAGGATACAAAAACATTAATTCAAAAGGACATCTGCACCCTTATGTTTATTGCTGCACTATTTACAATAGCTAAGCTATGGAAACAATCCAAATGAGCAAAAATAGGTGACTGGATCAAGAAGATGTTGCTGCACCTCCCCCTGCAGTGACCTTCAGGGCTAATGGCTGTTGCCATGGTCCCTGAGGTCCGGCGTGGGCCAGGAACCATGCGCACAGGGGGAGAACAGCAAACTCCCTAAGATACAGAGAAGCCGGATGCCTGGCAAGAGTTAAAAGAAATGCTGACCACACGGAACCTTATCTCGCTTTCTCAAGACCCACAAACTTTATTCTACTATAACTGTCTTTCTAAAATCTTTTCTTTTCCCGGTCTAAAAAGGTCATTAATTGCTAATTAAAAAACATACGTAATTTAATAATTAGGCTAATTCAAATGAAACATTACTAAACACTGTGTAATAATAGAATTGTTGGTTTAATAATCTTTCTATTATGTGCTTGACTTTAGTACCTTTGATATTAACTGCATTATAAAATAAATTCACCCATGACAATTAATTATGAGTAAAAATAAGTAGATAGTAGTAGTAGTTAGTGCACCAAGAATATAATTATATAGAACAAAAGAAAGAGTTAATAGCGTGTCTACTTAGGAATGTGGCTAGGTCCAGATGTATTTCGGACATAGATCACTGCCCTGTCAATGATAAGCTGAACCTATGAGCAAGCTGATTGCGTTGATGTTCACTGTTCCTATGTTTTTAGAAAACATATATATACTGGTCACAAACTCAAAGAAAATTACACTCAGATTTTCACTCTCTTGAAGTGTGTCTGTGTGTCATTTATTCGCCGAATCCCTGACCACCCCGCGCAATCTCTCAACCCTGAGACGGCCTCATTGTCCACTGCTGTGCTGGTCCGCGGCAAGATGTGGTACATATACACAATGGATTTTACTCAGCAATCAGAAAAGATAAACTCATGCCATTTGCAGCAGCATGGATGGAGCTGGAAGGGATCATCCTTAGCGAAATACGCCAGAAAGAAAAAGAAAAATACCAAATGGTTTCACTCATAGCAGGAATATAAAAAACCTAAATAAGAGATAAAAAAAAAGACTGATTATAATAAAGTAAAAATTAAAATCAACAAGCAACTATAAAATGGAGACATACAACAGGACAGGAAAAGGGAGTAGGACCAAAACAAGGGTAGTGGGAACTTTATGGGAACTATAACTAAGATGAAAATGCATGTAATGTACAAGAATGAAAAATGATGTAAAAAATATTTAAAATAAAAAACCTAAAAAATATCAAAATCATTCCAACTATCTTCTCTGATCATAAAGGCATCAAACCAGAATTAAACCATGAAAAGAAAGCAAGGAACCTGCCCACTTCATGGAGATTGAAACCCACACTACAGGAAGACCATTGGATTAAAGAGGAAATCAAAGAAGAAATTAAAAAATACTTTCAGTTGAACAACAATGAGGACAAAACTTTCCAGAATATATGGGACACCCTAATGGTTTTTAACTGGCCCACAGAGACCTGGTAATTTTGGGGTCCTGATAAATTTATTTAATAAGAAAACATTTGTTTTAAGTTTCCTTGTTTTTCACTTGGTCTCATGAGAACAAAGGCAGCTTTCCCATCAGCTGCTGTGAGTCTCTCACTTTAGTCTCCAGCATTTTCCCTCCTGCCTCAGTTGTGATGTAAGAATTGAAATTTATACTCCCAACTTTGGCCAGGATTTCTTTGTTCTCTAGTTTATGAGCTGGCCAGGTAGGAGATCAGAAGATCTGAGGACACAGTCCAGGGATGAGCAGGCAGTGGAGGGCTCATTACCCGCCTGGAAGAGAATGACAGGAAAAGCACCCCCTTTTTGGTCATCTCTGACCTGCAGCCAAAAGGCACCCTTTTTAGGTCTTGGAATTGTGGGGGAAGGTGACTTGTACCCACCAGTTGGAGGGGAGAGATCCCATGGCTTAGTCACCCTTACCCATGCCCATCAGCCTCTCATCCTGTCCCTACTCCTTTCCAGGAGTCTGAACATACACCCTGCCTAGAGGGCAGGTCTCAGGGGCTGTTGAGTTGCCAGGACATGGAGGAGGTGCCTTTTCCAGCTTCCAGGACAATATCTGTGGTGACTGAATGGAGGAGCAGGGAAACCAAGGAGGGGATCCAGAGGCCAGTCCAGGGGGACAGAAAATCTGTGAGGACAGACTCTGGGGTCATCTTGGACCAGGAGTTCCCAGGGTTATGTTCCAAGTGGTGTGTGGGGAAATGTGGGTGGAACTCAGGGCTTGGGACAGATTTAAGAGTCACAGATTATTGATGCAAAGCCAAGAGCATGAGCCAGGGATGTGGACAGAGACCACCCTGTCCTGTATGAAGGGCTGTGGGGTCCTGGACGGGGAGGCTTAGGAAAGCAGGGAAGAATCTCCTAAGCCTGAAAGAACCTAGAGACAAAGTAAACTCACTTTTTTTACAGAAGTTGCAGTGAGATCAAACCACAGGCCTTAGCACAGGCTTCAAAGGAAATGAAAACCACCTACACAGGAAGTGACATGATAAGGACCGCACAGCCTCACTCAGTGCCATGGGTGTTTTTGTTGCCATTTAAGCCCAAATAGCCAACACCCATTTACACCGCAGCATCAATGAAGATCATTTATGGATTTTAATATTGTCCTCAGCTTAGATTCAAGGAGGCAAATTGCCAAAAACAAGCTGGATACAATCTGAGCACTTTTGATGGTCACTTCAGCTAAACCTGGGAAATAGTTTGACTGTCCCACCACTTTACAAAGGTATGTAATTTGCATGCTGTTATATGCAATGATTTTTATTTTATGTCTTCAAATATCTAAGAAAAGTTGATGAAGTTTAAGGCTGTAAGGTTTCTGACTTGTGTATTTTCTGTTAATAACTTGTTATATAATGTTAAAATGGTACTCAAAGGAATTGATGTGATTTGGATGAGTTCATACAGATTAAATATAAAGCGAAATCATTATTTTCTTCTCTTTCTTTTTTATTAAAGATTTATTTTTATTTATGCATACAAGAACTGGGGTGTATGCCAGGTGTGGGGGGGGGTGACAAGAGTCACTGGATACAGAGAGGGGGAGCAGAACAAGCAGATCTACTGAAATACACTGCTGAGGGGAGCAATGGATGAGACAGGAGAGGTCTGCTGCACCATGTGGGTCAGCTCTCTGGTTAGGGATCAAATTCGTGCTGCAATGGCTGGTGATAGCTTGATAGCACTGAGATTTTAACCCCTGGGCCACCAGAGGTGCCCTATTTCCTTGTCTTTCATCTAACTTCAGACATTCGTTTTTCCAAAAGAAATGGTTATCTATTGCTCTGGTGAAATTATGCTTCAGACATTGCCTATTGCCTGTAAATACAAATTTTTCTAATAAAACTGATAATTAAAATATTTACCATAGATATAAATGGTAATATATGGCTGTGAAGGTATGAAAACATGTAAGCTGCTGCTTTGGTTGACTAATAGTCTTGTGGATGAAAGGAAAAGAGAGACTTAGAAAACTTATTTGTTGAAAGATCAAAGATGAATAATGTCGCAGACCAGTTTTCAGCAAAATGTGGGGTCTGGAGTCCTTGAAAGGAAAAGACGGCCTAGGTGAGTCGTTAAGGGCTGAAGGGAAAGGGATGAGGCTGACATGCACTCTTCTTTTTGGTGCAAGTATCTCCTACCGAGCAGCTCAGCAGGTTCTTTATTTATACCTTTTTTTTTTTTTTTAAGCAAGCAGTGAGATGACATTATCATGTGCACAGAAACAAAACAGAAACAGTCAGTGCATCCCTTAGACTTTTTGTTGCTATGTGCCTTCCGCAAGAAAGCAACCTTCAAGGTAAATGGATAAAAAACTAAGCTTTACACTAAAACTCATTGTTTCAGTTAGACATTGCTAAATTTAGTTAGACATTGCTAAATTTAGACATTGTTTTAGCTATAAAACAGTTGATAGCGGCCAGTACACCCCTATCAGCTAAAGTCTAAGCATCAAAAGACTCCTCTATTCATATGGCCTTTAGCAGGAAACTAAAGGTTTTTGGTTATCAGCTAACAGGATGTTCTACCTAGAAACTTCTTAACACAATTAACTTCATTTAAAAACTTTCCTAAGAAAGACATCCCCTGCTCATGGATTGGAAGAATAAACATTATTAAAATGGCCATCCTACCAAAAGCAATATACAGATTCAATGCTATTCCAATCAAAATCTCAATGGCATTCTTCAAAGAAATAGAACAATTATTGATGAAATTCATATGGAATCACCAAAAACCCCGAATAGCCAAAGCTCTACTGAAAAAAAAAAGAAGGAAATGGAGGCATCACACTCCCAGACTTCAAACTATACTACAAAGCCATAATCATCAAAACTGCATGGTATTGGAACAAGAACAGACATACAGACCAATGGAATCGAATAGAAAACCCAGAAATAAACCCACAGATTTATGGTCAACTAATCTTTGACAAAGGAGCAAAGACTATGCATTGGAGCAAAGAAAGTTTGTTCAATAAATGGTGCTGGGAAAACTGGGTCGCTACATGCAAAAGAATGAAGCTTGACCACTACCTCACACCATACACAAAAATCAACTCAAAATGGATTAAAGAACTAGACATAAGACCTGAAACCATAAAATACATAGAAGGAAATATAGGCGAAACACTACGGGATTTGCACATCAAAGACATCTTTACAGACACATCACCCAAAGCAGTGATAGTGAAGAGAAAGATAAACAGCTGGGACTACATCAAATTAAAGAGCTTCTGCACAGCAAAAGAGACAATAACAAAAACAAAGAGAAACCCCACCAACTGGGAGAACATTTTTGCACCCAACACTAATGATAAAGGACTGATCACAAAAATCTGCAAAGAGCTGATGAGACTCAGCAACAACAAAGAAAATAATCCAGTCAAAAAATGGGCAGAGGAGCTAAAAAGAAACTTCTCTGAAGAGGAAATGCAAATGGCCAACAGACATGAAAAAATGTTCAACATCACTTGTCATCAGGGAAATGCAAATCAAAACTACCATGAGATACCATCTCACACCAGTGAGAATGGCACATATTAAAAAAACTAGCAACAACAAATGTTGGCGAGGGTGTGGAGAAAAAGGAACTCTTCTGCACTGTTGGTGGGAGTGCAAAAACTGGTCCAACCACTATGGAGAGCTGTGTGGAGATTTCTGGACCTACTAAACATAGAGCTTCCATATGATCCAGCAATTCCACTCCTAGGTATTTACCCAAAGGACACAGAAACATCAATTCCAAAGAGCACCTGCACCCCTATGTTTATAGCAGCACTGTTTACAATAGCTAAGCTTTGGAAACAACCCAAATGCCCAAAAATAGATGACTGGATCAAGAAGATGTGGTACATATATACCATGGAATATTACTCAGCATTCAAAAAAGATAAACACATGCAATTTGCAGCAACATGGATGGCGCTGGAAGGGATCATGCTCAGCGAAATAAGCCAAAAAGAAAAAGAAAAATACCGGATGGTCTCACTCATAGCAGGAATCTAGAAAACTTAAATAAGGGACCAGGAAAATGAATATAAGAAAGTGAAAATCAAAATCAACAAAAAACTATGAACCAGAGACACTTTTTGGGGGGTAGGGGGCGGGAGGGGAAGGATTGGGGTCAGAATGGGGCGTTTGCTATTGTATGGGGGAATATAAAAATAAAATTTAATATTAAAAAAAAAAACTTTCCTAAGAAACTCCTAAAAAAAGCAAAAGTAGGACTTATTATAATAGTTGTGCTGGATTGCTTGTCAGATATGTACAATAAATTGTCTCCCATTGCCAAGTGGGCCAAATTGTTTAATAACTAATTTCTAACAGATAATTTTCCGTGCCATTTACTTACAGTATGCTGATATGTATAATTTATTGCCTAATGTACTTTCTGATAAATTTATCTCTTTTTATGACCAAGAACAAAAAACGAAGGGATGTTAAATCTTCAGCCCCACGGTGTGAGGCACAAGGAATCTTCGGCCCCACGGTGTGAGGCCCTTTAGCTTCAGCCCCACAGTGTGAGGCCCTTAAGCTTAGCTGCTTGCCAGTGTCTTATCTGGCTGGGGCAGCAAGGCCCCCTGCAGCAGAATAACATATCATATACTGACATACCATATTTACATGGGGCTGTAACATATATTTTGGAGTTTTGCACTTATAACCTCCCCCCAAAATATAGTTGAAAAAATCAAAGTTATCTGAATAAATATAATAAAAACAAATAGTTCTGAAGATGAATCAGGCCTGGGCTCTGTCCCAAGGAGAGTGTGGTCACAGGAACGTGCTGAGAAAGGAGGGGTCAGGGAGGCTTCAGATTGGACTGTGGTAATTACTAAAAGGAGTGAGGGCTGATAAATTATATTGTGAAATGAGACACATCATTAAATTATTTAAATGTTCATTGTTTCCAAAAGAAGAAAAGAATAATATACATAATGTTCTTGACAGGGATCTAAACTCCTCTAATAGTATACTTAAGATTTGTGCATTTCTCCAGATAGAGTTTTGTCTCATGGAATCTTTCAGCCAGGATCTTGGAGAAGTCCCTGCCCACACCGCCCAGGCCGCTTGCCCAGGCCTTGAGAGCTGGCTAAGTGGCAAGGAGACCTCAAGGTGGCCCCCCAGGGCCACAGCACAGGCATTTGCCCCTGAGGCCCCTCTGGCAGGTTGCTGAGATGCACACCAGAATCCAGGGTTTGCACAGTTATGACCTCGTGAGCCAGAAGCAAAAAAAAATCTCACTGAATTGAGGAATCAAAGGTCAGAATTTGTGGCTAGCCATGCATTTGGATATTTGGGAACACCAGGAACGAGGTGGCCAACATCTGAGGAGACACTGGAAGGGATGGCCTGTCCATCTTTGCCAACACTGGCATCTGTTGAGACATGTCCTGTTCAACACTTTTAATGTCCTTTGCCAGAGTCGTGTGTTATTTCAGAAGAGATGGTTCCTGTTTCAGGGCTGGGCCAGCACAGAGCATGTGGTACCTGTTCTGAAGCACCTGGTTACTTGCTTCCTCTTTGTGTTTCCCCCGTTGGATGACAGCTGTGGCTTCCTCCCCAGGGTCACTGGTCACTATCCTCCCCACAGCCTTCCTGGGGCTCCTTGTTCTACTTCACATTGAAATCTTCAGCCAGGATCTTGGAGAAGTTCCTGCCCACAACACCCAGGCCTCTTGCCCAGGCCTTGACAGCTGGTTCTGAGTGACAAGGAGACCTTGGAGGTGGCCCCTCAGATCCATAGCACAGGCATTGGCCCCCTGAGGCCCCTCTGTCAGGTTGTTGAGATACAACCCAGAATCATGAGAGCCAGTCACAGCTGAGTAGTAAGTAGACCAGGATACTTTTCTTCTCTGCAGTTATAATTATCTTGTTCCCTCATGATCTTAGTTCCTGTTTTGCTTAATCTTAATCAAACCCAAACCCTCCCCAGGGTAAGAATCTCTATGGACATATCACACACACCAGCTATTCTGCCCGCTTCATCCTGGGCAGATCCCTGTCCCACAGCCTCAGTTCTGCCTCCTGGGGCCTGGGTCCTGCTCACCTGGCCCTGATCCCTCACCTCACCCTTGGCCTCTCTCCTATCCCTGCTCCTATATCCTGTTCTCTGTGTCCATCATCTTGTCTCCCCTTTGCCCACTAGTGTCCTTTGCCCACTAGAGGAGGGGTGTGGAAAGTCACCCCTGAGACCATGCACAGCTGAAGTGAATGTCTATGC